CTTGTCTTATCTCGCTGGCAGCACCCATCACACCGGCTCCTCCTAACTCCCTCTCCTTGCCTGTCTTGGTGCATCCTTGCCCTGGTATGTCACTGTGTTGTCCTCTGCTCCCTAAAGTCATCACATGCTCTGAGGTTGGCCTGTTTTCTTCCCTGCATTGTCCCCTACTCTGGAGGCTTAGTGCTGGGACTGGGGTCAGGTTAAGCACTTACTCAACCCCTGGGGCTTCGCAGGTCCTCTTGCTTCCCTGGGGCTGTGGTGAGGACTGGATGGCCTAATGTTGTCATGGCACTGGGAACACTGCTTGGTACAAGGTCACCCCACAGGGAGCTTATCAAGTGAATGGAAGCCAGTGTCACAACACTGTGATCAACCTTTCCTGCCCTTTTTCTAATGCAACTTTGTTGTTTTGAAACAGTCTCCTGTGTCTGGTGTACTCTAGCCAGGCTGGCCTCCAACTCAATAACCTGAACTTCTGATCCTCCTGCGCCCACCTCCAAAGGGTAGGGATTATAGGCTTATTCCACCAGGCCAGGTATATACTGTGCTAGGAAATAAAAGTTTGCATATGCTAGACACTCTACCACTGAGCCGCATGCCGCTTGGGCATTTTGAGGTCAGCGTTACACACTCAGGGCAGTTCAGAGCGCTTGGGGGTAGTGAGCAGCAGTACTTCACAGAGAATGGGTATCCACAAATGGCCCATTGCTTGCTCGTCAGTCCCACAAATCCCTTTGGTTTAGCTTCTTTAAACTCAAGGACTTGGGGAAAAAATGCATGGTCCTTCGTGTCCTGCAAGAGCGGTCATTCCTCGTAGGAGAGACTTTTCCAGAATGTTCTGGAGGACAGGAAGAAAAGCTGCTACCACCTTCTTTTATTGGCCAGCATTTGCCACTTGCCTCTTTGAGCCCTTCACTCCCCTTACTGAAATGCTTGCAGGGGCTCTGGGGCTCTGGCTCTTCCTGATAAGTAATCCCCTCCCCCTGGGCTGTGCTGATAGGACAGTCTGCAGCCCCTCCCAGTGCCAGCATCTCTGTTAGGCCAGTGTCAGTCAAAAGCCCATGGATGCTTGGCCTGGGGGATCTCAGTTATGGCCCATTCTCCGTGCCCCAGAGCAGCCACAGCTGTCTCTGATGAGGCCCCTTTGTCTCATACCCTCAGGTTTGGCAAAAGGCCTTCTGGCCCAGAAAGGAGAATAGAAAGGCAGCCAGACTTCCAGCTGGAAAATAAACAGCAGCGCTTCTGAAGGACTGGAAGAGCAAACATTAGAATCAGACTGAGTTTGTTTTAGAGAGGGGAGCAGGCTGGAGAGATAGTTTGATGATTAAGAGCACTGGCCGTTCTTGCAGATGACCTGGGTTCAGTTCCCAAAATCCACAGGACAGTTCACAAGCATCTGTAACTCCAGTTCCAGGGGCTCTGAGGCCTTCTGGCCTCTAAGGACACTAGGTATATACCTGGTGCACAGATGTACATACATGCAGGCAAACATCCATACACATGAAATAAATCTTAAAGAGGGGAGCCTTGGAAGGCCTAATGGAGGTGCTGTTTGATCAGGACCTAAAGGCTACAGTGGAGGGACTCTTGACTGAGGTGGCATTTGCATTTCCATCTGACATGTGGGTGAACACACACACACACACCACCCCTGGAGCACTTCCTGGGCCAGCAGGGCCAGGACAGAGGGTCAGGTGAGCAGGGCTTTCCTCTCTAAGCTTAGTGACTACCTGTCAGTCTCCTCAGGAACTGATGACAGGGCCCAGTCCCAGGCCTTTTCCCAGATCTGCAAAAATTAAAGCTGAGCTCAGAGGTGAGCAGCATCCACGGACAGACAGCAGCATTTGTGCACCTTGCTGCTGGTGAGGGACATGGCAGGGTCACGAGCCTAATCAGAGCTGCAGTCAGTGGCTGCTGCCACAGCAAGTAAGGATAGATAGGCCTGATGGCGCCTTACAGTGTGGCACAGCTGGCTGTGTAGATGCAGTTGGTGGGTTCCAGGGCTGCTGCTCAGAACGGAGCCATTTCCTTCTCATTAGGAGAATCCTGACTCATTTCCTGGGGATCCTGGCATGCACATTCCCTTGCCTTTACAGAGTCACACCTTAAAATCTGGGGGGAATCTGCCCAGCTGCAGGATCAATAGCCAGAGGTGGCTGTCAAGAACCAGATTCGTAAACCCTTTGAGCTCTCTTGTAAGGTGTATTTGTCTAATCCAAGTAGGGCTGGGATCTCTGTTGTCTGACCCAAATTTGCAGACTTGGAAGATGATGCAGTGCGTGTTAAAATCACCCCATGTGACCAACAAGGTGGTTCAGTGGGAACACTTGCCTTCTACACCTGACAACCCTGAGCTCAGTTCCTGGTACCCACTGTGTGGTCTGAATGAGAATGTCCCCATAGGCTCAGGCATGTGAACACGTGGTCCCCAGTTGGTGGCGCTGTTTGGGGAGGGGTAGCCTTTCACTGGGGCAGCCTTTGGCTGTGGTCCTGCTCCACTTCCAGTGTGTTCTGCGCTTCCTGGCATGGTTAATCTCTCAGCTTCCTGCTCTGGCCACCAGGCTGCCACTTGCTGCCACCCTCCCAGTCATGATGGACTCTTATCCCTCCGGAACCGTGAGCCAAAACCAACTCTTTCATGGTTGCTTTTGGTCGTAGTGTTTTACCGAGGCAACAGACAAGTGACTAACACACAGATGTAAAGGCGGGTGAAGAGAATCCACTGGGAAAAGTTGTCCTTTAGCTCCACGTACGTACTGTGACGTGCATGCCTGTCCACACTCACACACCCCCCCCTCCCACCCAGTTCCTTTTTTTTCTCTTTGTTACACACACACACACACACACACACACACACACACACACACACACACACACACAATGTGTTTTTTAAAAAAGATTGCTGCACAGTGTGGGTAATTTCTGTACACATCCTGGTCAATATTTTGTCCCAGAATTGGCCTTCCCCATCATGTTTCCTGTCTCAGTGAAGGCATGTGGCTTTTGGAGCCCCATCCTATTCCAACCCCACTCCGCTCTGGGGGTAATGCAGACATGAAGGTGTGTGCTCAGTCCACAGACTTGCATGATCTGAGTTGTGAGTGGCTTTTCTCCTTTCTGTGAGCAAATATTTGACAAAAGCAACATCAGGAAGGAAGGGCTCATTCTGGCCCACACTTGTACTCCATCTTGGTGAAGTTATGGTGGCGGGAGGGTGAGGCAGTCAGTCTGCAGACTGACATCTGCAGGCAGGAAGCAGAGAGAGATCAGCGCTGGTGCTCAGAGCGCTTGCATCTTCTCATTGGGGGTGGGGAGAGCCTGTCCAGGGAACGGTGCCACGGACATGCAGGGTGGATCTTCCTCCCTCCCTTAGCCCCTGTGGAAATACTCTCACAGGCCTCTGCAGACGTGTCCACCAAAGTTATTCCAAGCAGGCATCGAAGCCCCGGCCTTGATAAAAAGCCTCTGATGTTTGACACATTCGTTCCTGTGCTAGAGGTCAGAAGGCCACATCTACCTCACCGAGCTAAAGTCAAGGTGACAGCAGGGCTAGCTCTTCCTGGGGTTCCATGGCAGAGTTCATGTCCTGCCTTGTGCAGCTTTTAGGCCTCCTGCTCTGCCCCCCGGCCACACCCACACACCAGCAAGCCAGCAGCAGCACAGCATCTTCAGACCTGTGCACCTGCTATCACTTTCTTTCCTCTTAGACTCCAACTCCTGCCCCCTCCTTTCCTTATAAGGATCCACCCAAAATAATCCAAGTTAACATTCCCATCTCAAGATCCATGGCCAGATCCCATCTGCTAAGTCCTGCCCTAGGAGGTGACCTGGACATGGCCCGGGCCATCGTTCTGATGACCTAGCCCTGGTTTAGTGAGAGCAAGAGTGCTAATTGACATCTGGAGTGGGTAGACAGAGGTCCAAAGTCAGATGAGGGTAAAAGCTCGTGGCAGCCAGCAACCTAACCTCCCCTTGGTCTGTGCACAGGGACCCAACAGAGCCACTGAGCCAGGAGGCAGTGTCAACAGCACAGAGAAAAAGCTAAGCAAATCACAGCAGCTGAAGAAGGTCTTCCAAGAATACGGGGCTGTGGGCGTGTCGCTGCACATTGGGATCTCCCTGGTCTCCTTGGGGATATTTTACACAGTGGTTTCCAGGTACGATTTTCAATGGTGTTCACTATGTTTGTGGCTGGATGTGGTAGCTCACAGATGTGAGTGCCGGGGTGGGGGTGGGGGGCTGAGCCTGCAGGTTCCAGGCTAGCCTGGGCTTTAGCTTGAGGCCTGTCCACAGTAACTGAAGGGAAGAAGTGCTGGGGGTGCAGCCCAGTTGGCAGAATACTTACCCAGCATTCACAAAGCCCTGGGTTCCGTTCCTCACACAGATCAACCACACCTGTAATCCCAGCATTCAGAAGGTGGAGGCAAGAGGGTCAGTTACCAGTCATCCATCCTTGGCTACATAGAATTTGAGGCCAGCCTGGGCTACATTAGACCCTGTCTCAAAAGCAAAAACATTTCTTTTGTTTTTTTCTTCCTGCTGTTGAATTTTGTTGTTTTTGTTTTTTTTTGGGGGGGGGTGTTTTGTTTTGCTGAAACCTACCTACCCATCCAGTTCCTTGTATTATATATACCTGGAACAGCAAGATGGCTAGCGGGTAAAAAGTGCTTGTCACACAAGCCTAGCTACCTGAGTTCCACCCCAGAGCCCACAGTGGAAAGAGAGGCCAATAGCCAGGAGACATCCTCTGACCTCTGCATGCTTGGTATATGCATTGCCCATACTCAAACACACAATAATCATAAATCGTTTTATTAAAAAGTAAAAATAGTTACTTCTTACAGAACCCAGGGAACTGTGCTGTTTTCTGGGATTTTGTCTTTTACTTTGTTGTTGTTGTTGTTGTTGTTGTGTCTTTGTTTTTTGTTTTTTTAAAATGGAGTGTGCTGGATGTCTCTACAATTTTGTTCAAAGGACTACAGAACCTGGAAAAGCTGTTGCTGCTATTGATGCATAACATATTGCCATTATTGCTCTCTCTCTCTCTCTCTCT